GGCACAATAATGGCTAGTGTATTAAAAAAATAAGCTGTGGGCTGATGGCTTCAACAAAAGCATTTACCATTGATTAAACTCATAGCTCACAGTAGGTTATCGTTAAAAATCAATTCCCCTTTGGAAAAAATGTATGGGATTTTTACTTCTGGAACCCGACTGTTCCCGAAGTAAAACTGGCTCGAGGTTGGGGCGGGGGCGGAGACCAAACTTGCCCTAATCGGTCAGCACTATATCTTACATTTCTTGATCATCTATATCCATTTTATGCCTTGAAAACACTTTTAAAAAATGTCAAATTATCTAGCTTGAAGAATGACTAATCTACAAAACTAAACTAATGTTTTGCCAAGTATGCCATCATTTTTCCCCCAATCTAATGCTGTCTTTGATATTCTTGGAAATATTGATTATAAATATATATTTTGCAGCTATCTTTGTATATTTAAAAAAAACTTTACTGATACAAAAAAAAAAATCAGCCAAGTGATAAATAAAATCCTTATTGTTGAGCCCTGAAGCAATATACAATTAAAATTCAAAATCCTTTCAGCTATTAAAAAGGCTAATAAAATATTGAACCAATTAGATCACAATTACTTTTAAAAAGTGCATCAGTTGTTAAACTATAATTCACATTAACACAGTGCAGAGTGACAGCTGCACTGCTTGTCCTGTTCCACACCTGTGGTTTCTGACATGCTCCTCTCACGGATATCTTTGCCTCCTGGAACACCACGTCCATCGCTGCTGGATTTCTTTCTGTCCTTATTACACCATTTCCAGTCAGGATGTGCCTTAAAGTGTGCCTCCTTCACCTGTGAATGAATGGCAGAAACATTTACAAAAGGCTGGATTGACTTAATGGGGGTTATTTAGGAGTCTAAACATGCATATCTGCAAATGTAAGACAGTTCGAGTAACCTGAAATGCGAGGTCGTGGTATTTTTGTTTTTCTTTGGGTCCCAAGGCATACCACCACTCTCCAAGTATCTTGCTGACAGTGCGGTTGTCCTGGTTTGGGTGTCTCTGATGAACCAGTGCACGATGCCGCTTGCTGAAGATCATGAACGCGTTCATGGGTCTCCGGATGTGGTCTTTCTCCCTCTGTAAAGTGAAAGAGTAAGAAGGAATGAGTGAATGTGTCTGTGCAAGAGAGTGAGACTGTGCAAGCATATACTATTGTTCAAAAGTTTGGGGTCCGTATGAATTTTGTTTTGTTAAACTGATCAAAAGTGTCAGTAAAGACTTGTACATTGTTACAAAAGATTACTATTTCATATAAATCCTGTTGTTTTGAACTTCCTTTTAATCTAAAAAATGTTTTACGGATTTCACAAAAATATTAAGCAGCACAACTGTTTTCAATATTGATAAAAAATATTAATTGTTTCTTGAGCACCAAATCAGCATAAAGGATCATCATGTGACACTGAAGACTGGAGTAATGGCTACTAAAAATTAATAAATTACATTTTAAAATATATTAAAACACAAACACATTAAAAAGTCTTAGCGTCCCCAAACTTTTAAATGATAGTGTACATGTGTAAACATTTACCTTGCCAGGACTGGTTTTGTCATCTTTGGGCAGTGCACTGAGGGACTGAGATCTACGCTTTCCAGGAGATGCAGAAATTGGCGGATCAGGAAGAACACCGGGGAAAAACCTGGACACAAAAATCCCAGTTAATATTAAATGTTAACAGAGGAGAATCAGTGGGAGACCCAGCAGTATGCGTTGATTATCCCAGTATAATAATATAAACTGATATTTTCCCATCTGCCTCTACTAAACATTCAAACAGCTTCTGAAACAATCTCAATTTCTAGCTTACAACAAGGAATATCTTTCCTCAAATAACAAGCATCACTACAAAAGAAGCAACCCACCATTATCATCCGAGTTATTTTATTAATTGCAGAGACATTAGAATAATGTATTTCTAATTGCATGCACATGATTTTAAGATGGGTTTTTCTATTATACAAGCATTTTGGTATTAGTTAACTGATAATTATTCCATTGTCACAACCATATAGCTACTGTGGACCAAAACAGGCTCAAAAGATCCTCCACTTTTGCAACCCTCAGGGCGCTTCAACTGTGCCGTGAAACAATACAGCAGAAAGCAGCGAGCCAATTACTGAAAACTGCAATGCACAGTGTCAATGAGCTACTGCTTTGCAGCCCACTGCCAAGGCAGAAAGCACAGAGCTGCACAGAGCACATCTGTAATATCCAGTGTACAATATTAAAGAGATGGATGCTTCACAAATGTCAATAACACCTTAATGCAAAGATAATACAATAAGCTTAATGGGTAAAACGCATTTAGCAGGAACTGTACCAGATGACTTGATGATTACACATGGAGCAGAATTTTATATGTGTATTATAAGGGAGAGGGAAAAACAAGAGAGAGAAGTGTATTCAGATGACAGTTCATTAATGTAAATGCTGCTGTCATTCATAGACACAGGATAAAGTGGAATGCTTTTGTTCTCCCTTTCTTTGTGGTGCCATTATACAGCTCTCTCCACAAAAAGGAATACCAGCAACAAAACACATTCAAACAGAATGACGCATCTCACACTCAACACACACTAGACCACTCACGGATCATCCACGTCACTTTCTGTTTCACTGTCAGGTCTCTCTCGCTCCACATCCTTCTCTCTCTCCGGGGGCAGTTCATCAGCGGAGGGTGTGGGGCGTGAGGAAGGGTTATGTGCTCCCTCTATAATCTCCTTCAGCACTGACCCGCTTTGAGACTCTGAAAGTGAAAGACGAGTTATTCATTACAGCATCTTTAATGAATCCCTCCAATCTGGCAACCTCGGGGGTCAATCGATGCACTGGGTAATGGCTAAATTACAGAGGCTAGAGTTTCAGAGAGTCACTGCAGATGTGATAGGGGAGGCCAAATACATAACAGAATCCGGACTATCCCAGGAAATATACTTCCAAATGTTTTTAATATCGACCACAATTTTTTTTTATAATCTCAAAAGGATAATAAGCTAATTTTGGAATCAAACAATGGCTGTACAAAGTAAATTACCTTTCTTCAGAGAAGCTGTCTGCGGATGACTGACAGTTTGTTGGCCCTCACCAGGTTGTGCCGATGGATCTGATTGGGTGGGTGCCAGGAAAGGGACCAATGAATGCCAAGGAAACACTGGAACCGATCTGGGCTCAACATTAGTCCACACTACAGGAGAAAATAGCAGAGTATTATTCATTCAAGTATTAACACCAAGTAATAAACCATATCAACAGCCAAATCAAAGCCTGACAAGCCACATAAATGACTAGATGTATATGTATATAATAAATATTGTACCATTGGCTGCTTGGAAAAAAAAGATGTCTCAATATTTATTTGTTGATGATATGTACACAATGTAGTGTCACTCTCCATAATATCTAAACCATTAGTAATTTACAAAAGCCATCAAAATGAAATGGGAAGAGCAAGGATAACGGACCAAAACATCTCATATTATTTAAGATGCAGGCTAACAAGTAATATTATTTATGAAAGCTATCATGTTGTTAAACCAAGCTATCATAAATATTTTAATATTATAAGAGTAAACTGATGTAGCTTCAAGCTCAATTTCGTTTCACGAGTGTAATACATTACAAAAAAGTCTGACTGTCATGAATACAGTAAGTGCATGGACATATTGTTACCGAATGATATGAAGAAAGCAGTATTTGGGGCCAAATAACCTCTTCAAAGTAATATGAATCTAGAACAGAATATTTCGTGATGCCGTTACAACTACAATGCCCCTATTTACGAATACTTAATTTCGGCTGCAAAACTGTTCATTTTTCATTCTATAAGGGAAAAAAAAATTCTGACACGTTGAGTAATAATGACTGACCAAACATGCTGAGTCCTTGGCGAAGATACTGCGGGCTTTCCGATGAAAACATGGTTGAGTTAGAGGCTTGAAATGCTTTTTTTTTTTTTAAAGAAAAACTTCACAAACATGTAATATTAAATAGAAGTACTGTTTCAAACGTGCATCTGATATAAGGTAAAAACAAGTCCTTGCGATTAAAAATGAAGTATCCACATGATGCTTTTCCCAGACAGGTGATGTTGAGTAGAGCGATGAAAATACGCGGCCATAATCGATGCTGCCAGCATCCGTCTACTGGAGTTTCATGTTGGTACCAAATGTTCTTGTTATGACATGCCGTAGTGTAGCCACACTAATCTTTAGTTCAGTTTCAGTTCAGTTCCATCTTTCCTTCTGTTTTCTCAGATTTATTGGCTCAGACACCAGATCATATTCGAGTAAAAATGATGACAACGTGCTATCAGGTACCGCACAGAAGAGAGCAAAGCGCCGTTCCACCACCAGGCACGCGCAGATTATAACAAATGACGTTCTTGGCGTTAAAACACTTTCGGGTACACAGTTACTATTACATAGACTGCTTCGTTTCGAAATGCGGAAACGGGTTTGGTTTATTTGGACGATGTAGTTTATTTTTGGTCCTGTTTGCCCCCTCCTTGTCCGAGCTTGTTTACATTGACGGAGAGCTGCGGGGATGAAGGGGTTAAGTAGGCCTCTCGGTCATCCTCGGGCTCGAGTAGTGCAACAGTCTGCGACCTGAGCTCACCTCAGCCCGGGCGGGTATACATGTACAAGATCACGATTAAGAATTAATTTGGCAACAAATTACATTTATAACAATAAAGGAGCGATACAGGCATTAAATAACCAATGCCTAAAACGTGAACACGGTTATCTCAGTAAATCGTCGCGAAAATGGGAAGCCCAAATCTGCCAAATTAGCAGGTTAGCATGGTCATGGTGCTACTACACCCGCAGTACGAGTGTAATTTATTCTTTGGGTTGCGACACACAACGGAAGCGATTTTCTGTTTAAAAAGATTAACGAAAGATAATATCCTTCAGACAGGGAAGTGATATGTATCAAATGCTTAATAATAAAAAAGGCCATATGTAATACACATCTGTCTTTTTCACGTGGCCACTATTATTCTCCCTGGCTGTCAGTGCACTTTATCAGATCCACATCCTGTTTCACATCTGATCCAAATTCATCAGTTTTTGGCGTACATAGCCTGGTTTACCGACTAATATCTGATTGGCAAACGCATAATTACATCCTGCATAGCATAAAAGTAACCGGACTCATTCTGTACTGCCACTTTGGTTTAGGGGCTGCATGTGGGAGATCCGGACCTGGTCTCAGCAGCTCAGTTCCAAATGAGTCCGTCCCCTCGGGAACGCCCCTGGTATTGCATCCGCACCGCCGGGCGCTACAACAGAACCTGTCCTCATGTCACGGCGCAAAACTGTAGCACTACACCAAAACACCCAGATTTAAAAAAGGGAAGAAACGACCGTGTGCGGCAGTGAGAAACTACAAAAGCCAGAGACAGAAATAGGCAAGCAACACCTGACCAACAATCATTAGTTACACTGTAGTAGCACTGTAGCTGTTCGTTGTAATTACTGTTCGTGATACACACAAAATCTTTTTTATTCCTAATTTCGAACTAGCCTTCGTGCCACTGAAATGGTATATACTTTGCTATAAATACTAAGTTAGTTCGCCACACAATTCCACTTTTGACTATATCCAGAATAATAGCAGCATTTCATATTGTCAAAGAAAATGAAACCCCTGTAGATTGTACAAACGCACGCTGATCCTCTAATCCTTAACGCGAAAAGCATCGTTTTTTTCTTGCTCTCCTTTATCTTACACTTTTCCTTTGGGGGGTTTATTTTGATCAAGTTCAATCTGAATCAGGCTTAAAAACGAAGCACGTTTCCCTTAAACTGAATTCTAGTTGCAGCGACTTCTCTTGTTAAATGCCCGCTCCGACACCCCCTCCCTCGCACACACCCCGGCCCCAATAAGTCTCATCCAAAGGGCTAATCGTGCAGTAAACTCCTCGCCTTCGGCTCTGGCACACTCGTGAAACTAGTAAGAAATCCACTAACATATGACTGCGCGAAACGGCCAAACTCCGCCGTGCTCTAACCCGCTACGGACAACGGCGGGGAAATACAAAACAGAGAAGAAAAGCTGGTCAGAGATGATCCGGCGCAGTGCTGTTGTGATGAAATGACGGGGTTTAATAGTAAGAACAGCCCCTAAAGTCCAGCGCGATTCTCCTGCACCAGGGTCACTTTCCGATCCGAGGCGACCCGCGGCGGCTCACGCGCTCCTCTCTGCTCGCTCTGTAGGTGCTCGTAGTAAAGAAGCCGTTGTCTCATAACATCACTCAGTTGGCCACGACTCTTCCCTCGATTTCGCTCTCCTCTCTCATTTCGCAAACCCGTTCTTTCTTTCTCTTTCCCTCCCTCTTCCTCCTGTTGTATAGTAGACTGCCCTCTTTCGTTCTATCAGCGTGTGTGTCAACCTCGCCCAGCCCGTGACCCGCCTTTTACTCTTCGAATGCTTTCTTACTGTGCGTTCACACCGGACGCGAATAGCGCGTCAAATTCGCGTCTACCGCGTCTAGTTTGACGCTTGACCACTTTGTGTTAATTCGCGTGTCAATGGCGAAATTGACGCGCGTAAAAACAAAAGTTTGAAGCGAAATTTACGCGCGTCAGAGGCGAAATCCGGAGGCGAAAGTTTCTAAACCCGTTGGCGGCCATCTTTTTAGATGTTTATCGAGCATTAGCATTAGCATTATTCGAGAGAGTCACCGCTCGTATATGCTCTGGAGAGCAGAAGCAGCTCCGTAGGGGACATCGTCGCTGTACTCGGGTCCACCAGAACCTCCGGAGGGTTTCAGGAGTTTCACAATTTGCTCCAGGAGCTAGGTTTGGTGGACCTAACGGTGAGGACGCTGACGAGGACAGCGTAGGCCGTATAAGCCCTCGGCCTCGAGTGGTCTAGCTATGCCTGTCGAGCCCGCGCTCTACAGCCCGGCGCTAGGTTCACCCTCGCCCGCATCCACCTAATCTGTCATTTATTTTTGTTTTGATAATAAATGAAGCCAGCCTCCAAAAGTGATTAATCTGTCCTGTGATTTTTCTCTCTCTCTCACACATCACTGTCCAGACACGAACTTATATGTTGGTTGTCTTTACATTATAATAATATTTCATATAATCTAGATATGGAATAAATAGCATTCAATGCAAAATGAATATGTCTCATATATTGAAATCAAGTTTTATGTGATAAAATATTTGCTTTGTTGTGCATTAGAACCACAGTCATATATTACAAAATAATTTATTGAAGCATCCAGATACTTCACCACGTGACAGCAGCAAGCAGCTAGGCTCCTGATTGGTTAACGCGGCGCGAATTGACGCAGAAGTTCAGATTTTTCAACTCGGGCGGCAGACGCGAATTCGCGTCAAACGCGTGAATGCACAAATAGCACTAACTAAATCATTCGCGCGTAACGCGCTTAACGCGCCAGACGCTCAATTCGCGCCATTCGCGCGAACTTGACGCGCGAATGAGGCGTATTCGCGTCTACCGCGCCGCGCTCTACGCCTCATTCGCGCCGCAGGAATTTTTTACGCGCGTAACGCGTCTTTGCATTGACTTAACATTGAAATCACTCGCGCCTGACGCGCTATTCGCGTCCGGTGTGAACGCACCATGAGATTGGTCTACGACGCAACCTATCGTAAGACAATCCGACACGCTGATTGGTGGAAGCGTGCGTTGGAATGTCAGTCATATGCAAATCGGCTTTGCCTTTCGTCGTCTCACTGGACGTGGTTGAAAATGAGCTAATAAATAATTAACACGCGAAATAATCTGGGGCATGACTTTACGTGGGTCCTCGTGATATTTGGTCTCACGGTGAAGTTGAAGCTGCTGCTGTACTCTTAACTGGCAAAGAGAGGCACAGCGTGTCATAACAGGAACAATACATAGTTGGGGATTTGCGTTTATTATGGGTTAACGAGTGCATTATTTTAGGACAGATTTATAAGACTCAAAGGCATGTGTGACAACAAATCCTCATATAGGCTGGACAAACTCTCCCTTCATAACAGTAGTTAAAATGTAATACTATGTTTTGTGGTCATTTCAAAGAAGAGGGCGCCATAAACACACGTAAATATTACATCTATTTAAAGGGATAGTTCACCCAAAAACGAAAATTCTGTCATCATTTACTCACCCTCAAGTTGTTCACAACCTGTATGCATTTCGTTCTTCCGCTGAACACAAAAGAAGATATTTTGAAGAATGTAGGTAACCAAATTGTTTCTGGTCCCCATTGACTTCCATAGTATTTTTTTCCATACTATAGAAGTCAATGGGATCCATCAACTGTTTGGTTACTGATATTCTTTAAAATATCTTCTTTAGTGTTCAGCAGAAGAAATAAATTCATACAGGTTGTGAACAACTTGAGGGTGAGTAAATGATGACAGAATTTTTGTTTTTGGGTGAACTATTCCTTTAATAGTACTTTGAAAACAGACAAACTTATATTTTATTTATCCACATTAAAGTAAATAAAACAAATTAAAATTGAAGTAATTGTAATACATTTAACTTAAATTTGGCGTTGAAATAACTTTTAAATTTTTACTAAAAATATACATACACTAATGCTTGTGTAACTAATGCAAAAATAACTTGAGGAAAGTGAACATGTCAACTTCCTCTCTCACTAAAGCCACAGTCAAACTTCAGTCAATATGAATTGTCAAAATAAGGCACAAGCATTGCAAACAAATGCAAACTGATCTCATTGCTCACACAGTAAACTCAACTATAAAATTTGCGCATTTTCTACACTGCAATTTTCAACACTTTAGTTCACAATGGACCCTTTTCCTTGTTTCTCAGAAGCGGAAGTCATCATAGTTGGGTAAAATTCTATAACAGCAGTGAATGAGAGACTGCATTAAATATATATATATATTGTGTTTCCATGTGCTCAAATAGCAAAAGAAAAACTCCACAATAGTGTTTTCACAACTTTCAGAAAGAGGAATAAAAATAGAGAGAGATTGATAACCGCAGTCAGAAGATAGAAAGACGTCAAAGTATAGTGTTATAAATGTATATACATTTAAATATATATATATATAAAACTTTGCATGATTTTACGCATCATCACAGTCTGTGAAAAGGGACCATATTCAACAGTTAGCTACGGCCCTCGAATCTAATTGGTTGAGCTGATTACCAAGTGTGACATTTAGTATAGCAGCATTGGGATGTTACATAGTTTTTATCACTCTGCTGGTTTGTGTTCATGGCATTGATATTATTTATTGTGTATAGAAATGTTGTATAATAGCAACATCACACTCGCAATTGTGCTGATTGACAGCTGTAATTCAGCTTATATTCAGTACTACATCGCTCTTGCTCATGTGAACCGAACACCTGTCTGCTTAACACTTCTCAGGAGTGAAAAGTATGGGCAAGTGTATGGTTTTGGTCTTTATTGGCTAGTGTGTTTGGTTAAAAGAAAACAGGACACAAATACGATTTTTTTCATTGGGTAGAGGTTTTCTTGGAGACCATATACAGCTGTACATACGTCACAAATGTTAAGCAGACCAGCAATAAAAAAAGCCAAATGAAGAAAGAGAGAAGTATTCTTCACATGCCATCGTGTTTCCCCATCTTTTACTATATATAGTGTATATATTATGACTGTAAAAAACACTATTATCAGTGTATACAACTCTCAGGCAGCATGACAGGGGCATGCTCACGGCGCCTATGAGTGTCAGCGGGCCGGTGTGTGGGTCTATGTGTGTGTGTGCTGAGTTCACTGACTGGTTTGTTTGTTTGGGTCAGAGGGCTATTGGCCATGTGCCCAGTGTCAGGCAGTCCCCTCACAAACAGTCACGCTACAATGGGGAAAATTTGTGTGTGAGAGAGAGAAAATACAGAGACATTGTAGACATAAGCGTAGTAACATTTTCCACACAAAACACAGTGACCAAATAATATTATAATATTACCACATACTATTATCCGAGTAATACATTCCATTC